CATCAAAGTTAACAACTGAACACTCAAACTTATTCACAGTGACATGAATCCATGTACAAGGTTTACTTTGTGAATTGTATTACTGTAGCCTAGTAAACTAGCCCAACCCGCCAGCAGACAAAATCATTTTTGCCTGCGAGTTACACATTTAATTTCACATTTAGTGTGGTTTATCAGTCTAGTATTACTGTAAAGTCATCAATTAAATGGTGTTTAACACTTGCACTGTTAACAAAAGTATAAACTAAATCTTATCAATAATATTTAGCACTATATCTTCCTGTGGATTAAAGCTTAAACTTCCAGTGACATCAGCAGGAAGCTGTCAGTGGGCTCGTCCAGGACAGCTCCCCTTCTGCTCATACATAATTGGTCCAACCCTGGCACCAATCGCCATCTCCTAAGCCACCAAAAACTGTAACCTGTGTATTTTTTACTAATTGAAATGCCTAATGAGGTCCCAGGAGTTCCATCCCATTACCTCTGAGTTAATTAAAGCCTGCGTAACGTGCCAAATGGTGAATAAAGATGCAGTAAAAGTGCAGGGAAGGGATGGGGAACCCGAGCAGGGTTTGCAGAGCCGGGGATGGGGGCTGACCTGCTTTTTTTGTCATTGTTATGGGATCTTATGTTCCAAGATGGAGCAGATGTCTATAATTCTTTTATTTGTATTTATTTTGGGCCTTAGAGTTCTGGTTCTCATTTTCCAATGCGGTTAGCCTAATTCTTCTTTATGAAACATTAAAACGCTTTGCCACCATCAGCAAAGGTTTTTATAAGGGAGGTTCTCTGTTTTGAAGCAAATTGACAGGTGTGTGTTTGTGAAGATTTTTCTGTTATGTCTGTAAAACTGTAATTTTTCATCAACTCTACAACCACAGAAAGTTGTTTTCTGTTTGTCTATAACTTTGGACACTAATATAACTAAATTAATCCAAGCTGTATTATGAGCTTTAAGAATGTTCTCCAAAATTAATGTGAAAAGCAGAGCCGGTCCAAGATTTTATCAGGCCCTGCCCTGGGCAGAATGTTGTCTGTTGCCCTCATTTTTCCAGTTAAAGATATTTTTGGCTTTTTAAAAGCCAGGCTCATTATTTAATAAGTAATATTTCCATTACCTGTAATAGATTTATGCCATATCACAAGAGAGTGTGAAGAAAAGTAAATAAACCCTCAGAGTGCTTAAAGGCTAAAAGCTAGCATCATTTTAAATTATTCTGTTAATTTAAAACCACTGAAACTGCAAACGTTAATATTCATCAGTGGATTTTAACAGAGTGCCTTTAGGCAACAAGAATCAGTGAGGCCCTGTCATTTGGTCAGTAGCACTAAGGTGGTTTCCCTCATGTCTTTGCATAGTTTCTGAGGAGTCATTGTTTGAATATTATCTGGATTTATCTAATCAGATGCACTGAATCAGCCTGGAACCTCCATCGACGTGATTTAAGAGTTGTAACACGGACAATGTTTAGTTCATTTAAATTGTAGATGCAAAAGTGTAAACGTTTAATATAGAACTACACTTTTCTGACACAAAGTTCTTCCGTTTGAGTTCATTTTGTTTGGATGGTCAGTTTAACCACATATTAACACTCCCACGTCCTGAACATTTTGTTTTTCTGCGAAGTTGCTATGGCTTTTGTGCTCCAGGTGAGAGATATTGATAAATACCAAACTGCATTTTCCTCCATTTCTTTGGAATTTTTTTTCAGCTCTTTGGAATTTACAGTTTGATGAACGTTTTCATTATGACTCCTCTCTTTGGAGAAAACTATCTAGGAAACAGTGAGACCTGACAAGGAAGATAATATTCTGTTGGGATTATTTTATTGCAGTTTGGCAACTAATCTCTTTCTCTAGCTTTTAGCATGGCAGTTTCGTAATTTAAGGAGTCTATCATTGCATTATCCTTGTTTTTTCAATATTATTAAGCTGTTTTTTATTAAGTTTTTCGCAAATATATAAGAATTATGCAACTTCAACATTTTTTCAACTAAACCGATTAAAACATTTTTCTTTATTTTATCTATATATTTGTGGCGAATTTCATTCTTTCCTATTAAAGCTACAGTGTGTAATAATTACAGGGATATACAGTCAGAAATTTAATATATTATACATAACTATTTTATTTATCATCATCTA